TTCAGAAATGGCAAATCTGTTGTACTGATTTATAATTATTTTTAACCGAGAATTTTTCATTTTTGCTCAGAATGCATAATAATACCTTAATGTGTTTATTCTCACCTTTCTTTGTGGCAAATTAACTTGCAGCATGGTGTACATGTACCTGGTCGATTTCAAATTTGTTCCTTGACAAAATTGTCCCTTTAAGTATGACACAAATATAAACATTCCTAAGATGTTCTCTCTACCAAAATGTTTTCTCCACAAGCTACAGAATAAATGAGCAATACAAGCAAATTAGGCCTCATGTTTATGCATTTAAAGAGTCAAATTATCATAATCGAAAAATGTATGGAAACACAAACCTGGAAAATTTATTTCATAGATCTTGTACATCCACATTATAAATCATGCTAAAAGACGATCCAAGTTTCTGGGTGAAATGTACCTGAACAAACACAGTAACACCAAAATCTCAAGCATCTTGATTTTGTGTAACCCTTAACTTAATGTTGGTATTGTTGTAATGGAAAATGTTGTGCTTACATAGGAATCCCAGAATTAGAAGATAAAATGGAGGAAATATGGTCACACTATGTTCTTATATTACAATTACATGTGTCGTACTTCCTGGAATGGCATCACACAACAGACAATTGAATTATTTGCATTAATTTGTTTTACTGAGTACAGATGATGTTGCTTTCTGTTTATCTTTGTCCCTGTACCATACAGAGTATAAATACTATAATTTAATCTTGGTGTAATATCTTGCCAGAGGATAGATATTAAAACTGTTAGGAGATAGAGGTTTTGATGTATTATGAAAAGTCAGATGTACTTGATAGTCCCAATACATCATATTTTAAGTAATATTGTACACTTTCTAAAATTACTCAATAACTTTGACTATTTAATTAATCTTGGTTTAAAGCCAAAATGTCTACACTGTAGTTTGGAAATTTTCGTTGAAAAGTGTAAGTATTCAGAAGTATCCATTATAGTCAAAACATGTTTGTGTGTTTCCGACCATTGACGTATTTGTTGAATTTCAAGTCCTAGTTTCCGGAATGTTGTATAATATGTAATATATTTCTAAATCATGTTTGTTATTTTTATGTGTTTGATTACAAGACCTGATGTGTAATATAAACCTCTCCAAATTCTTATTTGATGTTGTGATATTTGTCATGTTGATAATATCTATAAATAATTTCTATAAATAGACGCTCATCTCTCGTAATGGAGAGAAAATTTGTCTTGATGTTGTAACTACCTGTCCTTACCATTGATGACGTCATTGATTTTGTCATGCCTATTTATAGATTGTTAGCCGTTTTCTGGTGATATTTGATAAGATATTGATGTTGTACCACCCGTTTATATGTTTCTCATCCTGGACGGTATGAGTGTCTTGCTAGGTATGCGACCCGGACGATGTTAGTTCCAAATGAACTAAATATCAGTTTATTATCAAAGAAATAAAAATGTTGAAAACTAAAGTCATCTTTGTAGTTTTTTTTTCAACAGGGCAAGGATTAGAGAAGTAAACAAAAACAGCATTCATTACGTACACGTACATATATCAGTTACCTGTGTTCGTTGTCAGACAAATGTTGGTTTATGTAATAGACAATGACGTACCATATTATTTTTTTGTGATAATATAACCATTTATGATTTTAAGCATTTGTCTTTTACCTGTTTTGTTTGGTGTAATTTCCTTTTTTGATCGCTGTGTGTTTTACCAGTTGATGGTCCTAAAGACCTTTTATATGTTGACGGGCCGTTAAGAATGTAATGATAATAATAGTCCTTAAACTCAACGACAACGCCTACATATTCACGTGAGTATGTGACATCACAACTTTCAGCTGTATTTGGACATATTCAATGTGTTCATAACACAAAGTTGGTTAGAAGATTGTTATAAGTTTGGATCATAAGCTGAATTTGATTTGATAATTAGAAATTTTAAGAAAAACCAGGAAGTGTGGAAATATACCATTTCCATTGTGCGATCATGTAATTTGTATTTTCATTGTCATTTCTGTAACACGTGATGTTTCATGGCCAATACATGACGATCTGAAACCGACAAACTTTTATAATGGAATATATATTCTAACGAAGGCAAACTACTAGACTCCAAAATATTTTCCTGTAGACGTTGGTATAGCGTATACGACTATTTAATGAATATCACAACATCCTCGATACTCTAGTGGTTACGGTCACTCACTGTCTGCGTTCCTACAACATGTCATGGCAAAATTTAAGGTTCCATGTGAACAAGACAAAAAGACCGATTTGATGTACATCAAATGAACATCGATATCACATAACCGTAGATTGTAGTGGCTTTGAAGTTTGGTGTCCTCCTTTGTACTATTCAAGAGGAGCGTTGCAGCCTGTGATTGGTCAGTTTGTTTCTCCTGGAACCAATCATATTACTTTGCTTGTACCTTCAATTTTGTCATGACATGTTCAAGGGGTCAGAGAGCGAAAATTGTCATAACCCCTGCGGGAGTATCGAGGATGTAGTGATCGTAACCCCTGCAGTATCGAGGATGTAGTGATCGTAACCCCTGTAGTATCGAGGATGTAGTGATCGTAACCCCTGTAGTATCGAGGATGTAGTGATCGTAACCCCTGTAGTATCGAGGATGTAGTGATCGTAACCCCTGTAGTATCGAGAATATAGTGATCGTAACCCCTGTAGTATCGAGGATGTAGGGATCGTAACCCCTGTAGTATCGAGGATGTAGTGATCGTAACCCCTGTAGTATCGAGGATGTAGTAATCGTAACCCCTGTAGTATCGAGAATATAGTGATCGTAACCCCTGTAGTATCGAGGATGTAGTGATCGTAACCCCTGTAGTATCGAGGATGTAGTGATCGTAACCCCTGTAGTATCGAGAATATAGTGATCGTAACCCCTGTAGTATCGAGGATGTAGGGATCGTAACCCCTGTAGTATCGAGGATGTAGTGATCGTAACCCCTGTAGTATCGAGGATGTAGTAATCGTAACCCCTGTAGTATCGAGGATGTAGGGATCGTAACCCCTGTAGTATCGAGGATGTAGGGATCGTAACCCCTGTAGTATCGAGGATGTAGTGATCGTAACCCCTGTAGTATCGAGGATGTAGTGATCGTAACCCCTGCACTATCGAGGATGTAGTGATCGTTACCCCTGCAGTATCGAGGATGTAGTGATCGTAACCCCTGTAGTATCGAGGATGTAGTGATCGTAACCTCTGTAGTATCGAGAATGCGCATTATCAGGTCGGAAGCAAAGTTTAATTTTCAAAAGCCATAATATAATCTGTCATGCTTGAAGTGTGGAAAATTGTTGGTTTGTAAGATATTTCATTTTATTACATAGTATGTGTCGTAAAAGTTTTCGGGAGCTTGTATTTTCCGGTATTTTCTGGGATAGAATGAAAAATAAAAGAGAAAAGCTTAGCCCATTTCATGATTACCGTGACAAATGCATACCTGTTCACGCAGGCTTTCGCATTTTAAATAAAACCGCCAATGCGTGGTTGGTTTCTCGGATTCTTTCGTGTGTTTTCATGTTGATACCAGCATTATCTTAATCATATGCCGGCTTAGTGCATTAAACGTTCCCCTATTCAATATTCTCTCAGTAATAAGCTTGCCTAGTGCTGTTCACGGACTTAGAAGTAAGTCCGTGTTAAGTGTTATACGTGTTGCCGTGTTCAGTAAACTGGGCTTTCAGAATCCTTTTAATTCACTGTGATGATGTCCGATTTTACCATAACGCTTTGGGGTTTTGTTGAATAGACCCGTTTCACATTCTAACTTCGTATTATCTCCCTTTGAAAAAACTCTCCGGTTAAAAAATGAAAACGAGACGCGAGGTGTTGACAACCCGTTTGACAGCTCTCATCCAATGGTACCCTGAGTTGACGTTGTACATTTAAAGCCGTTGAGCGAATCGCAGACTGTGAAGATTAGTATAAGTGTTCACTGCATTGGTATTGTAAGATCAAAATAGTTGAGTATCATATCTGGTTATAGATAACGAGGAGTGAATGCCTAACCGAGTGTGTGATCTCGGTGTGATGAGGGGTTTGTCAAAATGTCAGATAATAATGATAACCTTAATTTATCGTCGTGTACAGGTGAACAACAAACATAAGCTCTGCATTTTACCCAGGTATATCCATGACCCCTTGCGACTTAAACGGAGGAAACATTTCCTTCAATAAAATAGGTTTACTACCGGAGTTTTTTGTAACACGAACCCTTCATTTCCACGTTGTCCAACTTTTGTGTCCTCACAACTAAATAGTCATTAAGTTGATCAAAATTACACTCACATAGTCTTCTCAAATCATCGGACCACACACGACCTTTAGCTGATGCGTAAAGCATGTCATACTGAGTGATGATCTTCGAATTTCTGAAATAGGCAAAACGGTCGTGGCCATCTTTTTCAGAATTCACACATATCGGCTCATCAAATAATCGGGACTTCAGAGCGATACATCTTGCAACCATCATTTTCTTATTACCTTTTAACCCTTCACGATGCAGATTTACATTTGAAGCCATGTAGAATGGGAAGTTTTTACACCCTGCGCCTCATTTTTGAATGGAACTCTCCTTACTCGGTGTTCAAAAAGTCAAATAGTCGGGATCATGAAACTCAACGATTAATGGACGGCTTACGCCGTGCCGAGTTATAAACGAACAGAACCTTCATTCTTATGTTATGTATAGGCCATATAAATAAGGTTTATAGTGAGTAAGAGGGGAGACTATGGGAGGGGAGGTAACTCCCATCGCCTATTTTGTAACAGCTATGTAAATCTTCGTTGAAGAGATAGAAAAGAAGGGTTGGTGAAATAAAAGAGAAGACGGAAGCACATGGATGTGTTTTTAAGTCATTTGTGTCTTTAGTCATTAACACTTACAATATGCTATAAGCTTTGCCATTAGCACGAAGTATGTTTAGTCATATTCAATATTATATACAGATCTCTTTAATCTGCTGTCTTAGTACTGTACATTCCGATAATTTGTAGATTGTGTCGGTCTCTATCGCTCAGACTCGGTTGGAATACACAAATGAGCAGTCCAATCACACACCCAACGTAGACGAGGAACTCCATCCGAGTATAAACTTCATTTTGGGGCACTGCAACAAGCATGAAGTCAAATAAGAATGAGGTTATATATTTTAATGTCAATAATTATCAATCATTTTTACTGTCTCTTATAGATTGAACAAACACATTGAGTATGGCTTAAACATGTCCCCAACTGGTTCCCGTATGTTACAATACTGTAATGATTTCTAGAGGCGGTGCTGTTTGGTGAAACACGTAATGAACAAATTTTATACAAAAAATTAACATATTTTTACTTTAAAATACAAAAAGTAAATAGTTTTGTGTCATAAGTGGTTATTCATATTAGATAAAAGTGATTAAATGCCTTAAATGCTAATATGAATTACAAAGACACTAAAGTACGGCCTCATGACTACATCCTGCCTTTTAAACATTAATGAATTTTACCTTTTGAACATAATAAGAATATGAATGAACTTTTGAACAAAATTATCTTTTACGTTATGAACACGAAAATATCTTACCTTTTGAACGTTGAGCCAGAGACGCCTCTGGTTGAGCATATCATACTTTTTGAACATGAATATAGCTTACCTTTTGAACAATCCTTTAGGATCACTGATGATCTGTTCTCTTTTTCACCTGAGTTATAAACTACATACACAACAGTTGCTATAGAAACTACAACACTTCCTGTGATAATCGACACATACGATGATTGAGAAACATATATCATGTCCAGTAGAATCCGACTCCACAGATGTAATATTGATACAAAATAAACAGAATGTTTATTGAGGACCATTTCTAATAGAATATACAGAGTCACAACCGACGCAGCTGAGGAGAAGAGTCCAGCGATAATCAATGACGTCACGTTAGGGACACCAAGAAGTCCAACGATAAATATCAATAACATTAGTATCGAAACATAAGTACATACTACACGCATGCGCAAAACGAGACAATTACTTCCGGTAGCCATTTGTTTAAGCATTATATTCTTTAGATTAAAATAAAATGTGATAGCTAATGCAATATATCCTTGTCCATTGTCGTTTCCATGGTATGACGTCATCAAAATTGCTCCACACGTCAGAAAGAAATGACACACAATCCCTAGCGGTGTTTCCCAGATGCCGGTACACGATCGATTTTGTATAACCAAGAGCGGTAAACCAAGTAAAGCTGCCGGTGTGAAATATAAGGTCTGGGAATGATAAGCCAAATATCCAGATAAAAATATTCCAAAAGTATGACAAACCAACACTAGTACAATTCCTTCCACTTTGTCACTAATTGATGATAACGGATTGACAGTGAAAAAGAGGACAAATGAGACAGTTTCCAGGATGAACAGCAACGTTGGTGGAATAAGATAGTTGATGTCGAAAAACCATTCATCCGCGATAGCAACAAATTTATACTGCAGCCATTGACCAATCATAAACAGGATGACAACGATACAAGACAGAGCAATGCTGTTGTGACTTGCAGTTTCCGTCATTCTGAAATAATATCAAACGTGTAGTTTTAATAGAGGATGTAATGCTTCAACACAGCAGATGTTAAATATAACAGTAGGAAAATATTAATCAGCATATGAACTTATCATAAAAATCAAATTGTACAAATGTTACTCCAGTTCTGTGCGATTTCTTCGAAATCCGAAATGCACTAAAACCTTTTTCACTATATTTCGCAAGAAATCGAACCTTTCTGCGAATATTTAATTGAAAAAATACCGACTTTTCTAGCTTTTTAACGTGTTGAGGGGGCTGTGAACCGCTCATATTGTCCTCATCTAAATAAAGAAAAGAAAAATATTCACATACTATAGTACATGATGTTCCACAGAATCGTTACGGTGTTTTGAGAATACATATGCCACAATACTATTGAGTGTTTCATATATATATATTTTACTTATGATTATATGATTAAGACTGACATCAATTTCCCGTCCAAAACACACGGATATTTCCTTACAGTAATCGGTCACGTCTATTCGGGTAATTTATTTCTTCGTCTTTTGTCCTTGTTACACGGATATTGAGCTGGACTTCGGGTTTTCTTAAGAAACTGATATTTGCTTCTTATTTTGCAACGAACTAATTTATAATGTATACTAAAGTCTGACATTTTGTAGGGAATACTATTTTCAACTGGGACGCGAAGACAATAAAATCTACCGTCGGCTATCTTAATGACGTGTCGTATTTAACTGGGACGCGAAGACCGTTAAATCTACTGTCGGCTATCTTAATGACGTGTCGCATTTAACTGGGACGCGAAGACAATAAAATCTACTGTCGGCTATCTTAATGACATGTCGTATTTAACTGGGACGTGAAGACCATTAAATCTACTGTCGGCTATCTTAATGACGTGTCGTATTTAACTGGGACGTGAAGACCATTAATCTACTGTCGGTTATCTTAATGACGTGTCGTATTTAACTGGGACGTGAAGACCATTAATCTACCTTCGGCTATCTTAATGACGTCGTATTTAACTGGGACGCGAAGATGAACCCCCTCCCCCTTTCTTTTTTTTAACTGAATTTGCGATTTTTGTAAAGGCTTGTGTCCGTCATCGTTATCTCCTTATGGGATCTTACGAATTCTCTCTACCTTCCGCAATACATATATTTTCAGTCGCTCTTGACATAATCTTGTTTTTTTTCTCATATACACCGTTATCTCTCATTTTATCAATTCGGAAGTAGATTAACCACTCAAATATTGGCTTTACACGAAAGAAACACGAGTGTATTCAACTTTCAGTCACAAATTAAGAATGATAAACAACAAAACTACACAATGAAACTGATAGCAACACAACAAATAAAACTGATAGTCACGTAACCAATAAAAATTATAGTCACACAATCAATTAAACTGATAGCCACACAACCAATCAAAACTGTCAATCACACAACCGATTAACCTGACAGTCACACAACAAATTAGCCTGACAGTCACACAACCAATTAACCTGACAGTCACGCAACCAATTAACCTCACAGTCACACAACCAATTAACCTCACGGTCACACAATCAATTAACCTGACAGTCACACAACCCAGTAACCTGACAGTCACACAACCGATTAACCTGACAGTCACACAACAAATTAGCCTGACAGTCACACAACCAATTAACCTGACAGTCACACAACCAATTAACCTGACAGTCACACAACCAATTAACCTGACAGTCACACAACCAATTAACCTGACAGTCACAGAACAAACTAACCTGACAGTCACACAACCAATTAACCTGACAGTCACACAACCAATTAAACAGTCACACAATTAATTAACCTCACAGTCACATAACCAATTAACCTGTCAGTCACACAACCAATTAACCTGACAGTCACACAACCAATTAACCTGACAGTCTCACAATCAATTAACCTCACAGTCACATAACCAAGTAACCTGTCAGTCACACAACCAATTAACCTGACAGTCACACAATCAATTAACCTGACAGTCACACAACCATTTAACCTGACAGTCACACAACCAATTAACCAGTCACACAATTAATGAGACTCTCGGAAAATTACGATATATATTACAGTACACCGTCTCATCTAAATTTCTTACTCTTTTCGATACCTTTAGATTTTCTCCGGTCGCCTCCTATGCTTCAAAATTTAGTTTAGATCCTTTGCAACACAGAGAAGTCCTAGAAGGATGAAATAGCTGTGTGATGCAACTAAATTCATTGTTCTGCTCTACTCTATCTAACTCTAAATTTGTAAATATCCTACAATGTATAATTGAGATCACGCTATTATCATTTAGATAACGTTTTATTTGTATATGTGCCAGGAAATATGCAAAGAAAAAAAATGAATAAACTTCTACACCGTCGGACAGAAATATCCATACTGCCGGTGAGTGTACGATATCTTTTGCCGGAACATAAACACGTGCTGAACCGGAAGTTTGAGACGTGACTGATTGATACACTATCGGACAGAAACATCCACACTTCCGGTGAGGATACGATATCTCTTACAAGGGTAAGACAGCCTGTACACACAGAGAACATAAACACGTGCTGAACCGGAAGTTTGATACGTGACTGATTGATATTGATAGTTTAAAATAAGATGATAATCTTTGATTATTTAAATCAGTTTTAAATGCATTATAACAATGAGATTCCTGATAGTCTGATCCTCAGCAGAGCCTCTGGTTAACAACCCTGATATTCCTCCACGGGTAGAGATTTCTCTGTCTTACCTTCAAACTAGGGAAACATTCTAAAAAGTCTTTAAAATGAAATGTTGTTGGAAAAAGTAAATGTTGGAAAACTGGAAATCAAGTATATTACATGATAACTCACCTGTACCATGTACCATGGCAACTGCGTGATGTAGCACGGATTTCACGATACACAAAATGTTCTTTCGATTTTATGGAGCTTTTTGAAAATGATCGTTTAATTTGAGGCTGTACATGTAAAATATCAGATACCAGGTTGTGCTATCATATCAACAAAACTATTGTAACTGGAAGGTGTGTATTCCCATTACGTCAGATAGGTTTACGTTTAATGTGGATGGAAATGTTTAATTTCTTATATCTATTGATTTTCCATCATGATTTATGCTTAACATGTAGTTGTATCAATAAACGTTTAACATCTGCTACGGATATCAATACCTTTCAAACACTGAAGACTGATATCCATGGTCAGACAATGACATGTGACATATGGTCAGATATAGTCTAGATGTAACGCGTGGCTGATATATATGTGTACTATAAATAGAAAGACTATGGACGGGCATAGGGGAAGGAACGGCAGGTGACTTACGTTTTTTATGCCTGACCGTGTAATGTAATCGAACTTCAATCACCCAAGTAAATGCGTCATTCATCTTCCATGACAATGCTGAATGTTTTTTTTCTATTGTTGTTCAAATCAAATCAAATTTCACGTTTATTAAAATGTTCCTAAATTTATAATTTCAGTGATAAATGAACACCTGTATCTCATTTGGTTTCGAGATATGCCGGTCAAGCTAAAAAAAACAGATACAAAATAAAATTTAATGCAATGTTGTTTAAACATATATCGAAATCACACAGACCACCAACAAAACATTCGTGTTGCTAACTTAAGTACCGTATGATCAGTTAATATTTAGGGAAAATTATCTAATCTAGTCAAACAGCAAACACAAGAAAACAAATCATAATAACATGACTATATATGTATATGTATATATCATTAACTGTAATTAAATGAATAAGTAGATTGTACATTTACAAAGACACACAGGAAACCAAAAAACGATAATGGGCCATACAACTGAAATATATAGAGCATGTGACCTTAATTCTCCGTGAAAACTAGAAGGTAATATACAGTATCCCACGATGGTTAATATTAGTCCGATATAAAAACATAGTTATAATGAATAAATACAAAGTGTAAATGCACCAAGGCGATATAAATATAATATGTATAGATGTTATATGGTATTAACAAAATTCTTTGTATATGTAATGAGTTTACGACAAAATATGAAATTTCTATCACTTACCTGTCTCTGTGAAATAAGCTATAAATATCAGGTCTCCCACTACACCTTGTGTTTAGCTCATGAATCACAAATATCAACTGCAGCTATTTAAAAACTCCCTTGCGGGTTTAAACGAATACGGTATACATTAGCCAAAGTGCATATTACTGTGTTAGAAACAGCCCGAGGTTGTCTCGATTTTAATGTGTTCAATAATTATTCACATTGCCGCGACACGTATACAGTAACGATCGTAATGAGATAAGATAAATATTATTGATCTTTAAATGACAAAGTACAACCTTACCATTTATGTTTATCCTCCGTCTAGGATACAGGCAAAATACACGGTATCTACATAATATACAATGTATTTATATGATATACAACGTAACAAAACACGTGTCGGACCTGGATTCTGCATTGACTACATGTATACATAAAAGAATTCGTCGTTTCAACATACCTCATCTATAAGGATTAATGATTAGCTATGTCAACATGTAGTACACTTTAATATCTAGGCGCACGTAGCAACAGATGGAGGACCTATACATTGATGCGGAATCGGTACGTCAGGAGGGGAAAATCTTTAAAACTGTTTATTTCCGGTTCTGTACTGTACAAGTACTAATGATGTATTTTTATAGAAAAATCTTTTACTTAAAAAAGGTTTAGGATGAGTGTATTGATCTTTGGCTTGAGAAATAATAAGAAACAAAACCAAGAAAAAAATATTACTAGCTGATTTCAAGCAAACCTTTTTCCGGAAAATTACACCGTTGGACCCGACTGTGGTTTTGCACTTATACGTTAATTTTCAAAGAAAATTAATATTTCTTCAAATTTAAATATTTATCTGTTATATAACGTTTCATATAGGGCTACATGATGTTGATCAAATGATATGAGATTCGAACAAGAAACATTCTGGTTACTGGAAAGTATTAGTATGATCCTATTATTATTATAAAGGAGATGTGTGTGATGCGAATTTTGAGGTGCTCTGATGCCTACACACATATGTATTATTGTGTGGACCCTGATGCCCACACACATATGTATTATTGTGTGATGCCCTGATGCCTACACACATATGTATTATTGTGTGATGCCCTGATGCCCACACACATATGTATTATTGTGTGAACCCTGATGCCCACACAGTAAAATCGAAACCGTCTTGAAATGAGATGATTTTTTTTAATTAAAAAAGTTCTGATTAAAAAGGTCAACATG